AATATTAGATTAGTAAACATTCCTGCATTTTTATCCTTCGGGGGCCCCATAATTCTTCCAATTTGACAGTAACTGATACAACTATAATATTTTATTTTATTTTATTTTGATTTATGAGTCACTTTATCTGCCTCTCTTCTACAGATGGATATATCACCATTAGCTCTTGCCCGGGTTTATGAAGAAGACTTTAAACAAGACATGGCTGCATTAAAGGTGCAAATATTTAATGTGTGGTCTTTTAAAACTGAAATTATTATAAAGTGTGTTTTATTTTTTAAGGGGACAATGACAACATGATTTTGAAATATAATTTAAATGACTAGCTTCTGATAAATCATCCTTTAAATAGTACAGAGTGAAAATTTTTAAAGTTTGTATGAGATCTCTTATGATCCCTGAATGTGTCTTTTAGCAAGGGAGAAACTGTCTCAAGGAATAAATGAACAGTTGTAAGCTCTTCAGGATAGAACTACACATATACTGCCCGTGTTTTGGCTGTGCCTTGGGGCTTCATTCTTGATTCTCTCTTAGCACTACTGTAATGAACATGATAGATAATCTACAGAAAGAGCCTGATTTAAAGCTCACTGAAGTCAGTCAGCGTTTGAGTCAGATGTAAAGCTCTTTTAAGTCCATGCAAAAAGTTTGTTCAGATGCACAAAGTCAATAAGCTGGGGGGGAAATGGAGAAAAATGCTTTTTTCAGTTCCTCTTTTCAGCTATAATCATCTTAGCTGTTGTGTGTAATTATAATATACACAACATTTTGAGAGAGAGATGTACTCTTAAGTTGGTAATGTTCCTTTAAACATCTGGTATTGTCATACACTAAAACAGCTTATCAGCAGCCTCTTTGTTTTGCTTCTTTATTTAAGGTTCTTCCCCCAACAGTATACATGAGAGTGACTGAAAATATTCCTCAGATCATTTCTTTTATAGAACGAATAATTGCTAGTGGACATGCTTATACAACCCCCAAAGGTAAGATTTCTAGCAGTACAGTTTGATATTAATGTGTATGCTGGAAATTCATTCTCTTAATTGGAGTTGTGACCATACCACTTTGCTGTCAGTTCAGATATTCAGTACTACAAGTTGCACCCCTCTAGTCCGGTACCCTCGGGACTAGACCAGTGCCAAATCAGAGAATCTGCCAAAGCATAGGTGGTCAACATTATTTAGCAGCATTGCCAAATGCTCTTAGAGGACCCTTGGGGTAAATTAGAGCTAAATAACACCACAGAACATTGAGAGCCAGGATTGGTGGCTGTAAACAAGCCTTATTGAACTGCAGGAAACTTGGCCACACCCATGATAAGTGGACATCCAGCTAACTAAAATCATGCTGGACCATGGATATTGCCAGACTAGAGAGGTTCAACCTGTATTTCTTTCATTGATTGATAACTGACAAGGAAAATGCTGTTAACTTCAATACACTTTTTATAGTTGTTATTACTACTTGAGAGATCATGGAGTCATTGTGGATAGTTCTCTGAAAGCATCCACTCACTGTGTATCAGCAGTCAAAAAAGTGAACAGAATCATTAAAAAAGGGATAGAGAATAAGACAGAATATCTTATTGTCTGTGTATAAATCCATGGTGTGTCCCCATCTTGAATACTGTGTGCAGATATGGTCACCTCATCCCCAGAAAGATTTCTTGGTATTGGAAAAAGTTCAGGAAAGGGCAACAAAAATGTTTGGGTTATAGAATGGCTGCCATATGAGGAGAGATTAATAGGACTGGGACTTTTCAGCTTGGAAAAGAGACAATGAAGGGAGGATAAGATAGAGGTCTACAAAATCATGACTGATATGATGAAAGTAGATAAGGAAAAAAAAATTTATTTGCTCCCATAACACACAGACTAAGGAGGTCACAAAATGAAATTAATAGGTAGAGGTTTAAAACAAACAAAAGGAAGTATTTCTTTACACAACGCACAGTCAACCTGTACAACTCCTTGCCAGAGGATGTTGTGAAGTTCAGGACTCGAACAGAGTTCAAAAAAGTTAGATAAATTCACGGAGGATAGGTCCATTAATGGCTATTAGTCAGGATGAGCGGGAATGGTATTCCTAGTCTCTCGGTGTGATGCTGGGAATGGGCGACAGCGGATGGATCACTTGATGATTGCCTGTTCTGTTTATTCCCTCTGGGGCATCTGGCAATGGCCACTATTGGAAGCCTGATTATTGGGCTAGATGGACCTTTGGTCTGACCCCATATGTCCTTATGTACTAAAATCCTGTGCAGTGTAAAATTGCAAAACAATTGAAAACACAGAGAAATTAAGAAACACATTTCTGAATCTGCAGCAAAAAAGATGTGAAATACTAACTGTACAATTGGTTCAAAACATTTTAAGGAAGAACATACCAGGATCCAGGAAGAGGCATCTGACTAAATGTGATCTGATGCAGTATGGCCGTTCTTAGAATTGTGTTATTTAATTGTAACTGAGGTTTTTAGAGTTAATTCCTTAAGGACATGAATGGTATTATATATTTCCTATGGGGGGAATCCTGGGCTGGAAAATCGTGGAACTGGCACATTCTGTTACCCCAGACGTTGTTATGCACACACCGAGTTGTCCCAGCGGGAAGGTGTGCATCCCCTTTTCGCTTTCATCTTTTGCAAAATAGTGTGTGTAGTGGGGTTTTAGAAGCAGGGATGGTGGTTCTGGGGCTGGCGGTTCTGGGGGACCTAAGGCATACATTAAGTATGCCTGTGAGAGACTTCATTTGAGTCCCGAAGGGTACAGTTGAACATGAAAGAACCCAGTATGACTTTCAGATGATAGGGTAGGTTTGTAGGCCTGGCAGTTAAGATTATTTTTTCTATGTGCAAGCAGCAAGCTTAATCTGGCGCGCCTTTGAGGAAGCTTAGACAGGGAAGTGCACACACTTATTATTGCAGTTACTTTGAGCAGAATGATTCTTTTAGGAAATGGCACACAACAGATGCTTTGCTCAGGAAGAGTGTTTATCCTTTTATCACATTGGCAAAATGAATACCCCATGTTTGTAATAAACCTCACTGTTTGTTTTCTAACAGGTAACGTTTATTTTGATGTCAAGTCTAGGGGAGACCAATATGGAAAGTTTACTAGTGTTTACCCTGATGTACAAGAGGAAATGGGTATGTTGATACTGACTGGTTTGGAACATTACATTGTATCAGTTAAATGCATTTTCTGAGACCTCACTAGCATGTGTATGAAAGGCTAAAACAATACATACAGTGCTTCTTTTACTTATAGTTCTTTTGTAACTATTTCACGGATATTTATGTTGTGCTGAAGAAGTTTTAAATACACGCAGTAAGAAAAAATGGTCGTTATTTTTTTTTCTATTTTGAAGGTTATCTTTGAATGGAATAGTTAGAAATATTTTAGGTGTGGGTTTGTTAGAGGGAGCTAAAATCAGCCCGGACCCTTATAGTTAAATACATTGAGATATCTTAGTCATATACAAGTCATTGAGCCCAATATAAGGTGAATTGGGTGAAATTCTTTAGTGGTGTTTCAGAGGAAGTTCAGACTACATGATCTAATGATCCTTTCTGGCTTAAAGGCCCGTGGATGAATGAGTCCATTTCTAGCTCATGGTAGAATATTTTTGTTGAACATTTTGGGTATGTCTACACTTGCTCCCTAGTTCGAGCTAGGGTTGCAAATGTAGCCGACTGAAATCGCTAATGAAGCGGGGATTTAAATATCCCGCGCTACATTAGCATAATCTTGTCCGCGTGTTATTCCGCTCAACAGCTGATTCGAACCAGGAAGTGCGCTCTGGGACGCGTTAGTTTGAATCAAACCCCTTGGTTTGAAGTAAGGATACTCCTCATTTTTTGAGGAGTAATGTTAATTAAAAATGAGGAGTAATGTTAGTTCATACCAAGGGGTTTGATTCGAACTAACGCGTCCCGGAGCACACTTCCTGGTTTGAATCAGCTGTTGAGCGGAATAACGCGCGGACGAGATTATGCTAATGGAGCGCAAGATATTAAAATCCCCGCTTCATTAGCAATTTCAGTCGGCTACATTTGCAACCCTAGCTTGAACTAGGGAGCAAGTGTAGACATACCTATGTGTACAATATGTCTGTTCTGGATAGGGGGGAAAAAAAAAAGGGAAATTAAAGTGTATGTCTGTTCAAGAATAAAATCTGGATAGTTCCCCAGATTGACATTATCAATGGCATCATGCATTTGCTCTTCTTGGAGACTTATCCTGTTAATAAATAATAAATTATTGGCAGCTGATAGTGATAAGCGACATGTCAAAGATTTTGCCTTGTGGAAGATGGCCAAGCCTCAAGAACCGTACTGGGCTTCTCCTTGGGGAAAAGGAAGACCTGGTTGGCATATTGAATGCTCTACAATTTCAAGGTCAGATTTCTGAGATTTTTAAATTTTCTGCACATGCATATGATTGCATGCATGTATGATTGATGTGGATTTCATAACTAGAACAAGGAAAGAATGTGCCTATTTGTAATTTTTTTTTAATCTAAACAAAAATAAGAAATTGCTGATGGTAAAGAAACATGTTCATTTTTGCACAAAGTGAAACTAGCCAGACAGATTGCTGAGGTTTTAGTATTTCTTAAAATGTTTGTTCTGTTACTGTAATAAACTGGAGAAAGCATTTGGACTGGAAGTGTTTTGTTCTGTTAAATACTGCATTTCTTTACAAAGGTTCTTGTGATCTGTTTTTGATCAGTAAAATATTGTTACAGTGCAGTGTTTGGAAGCCAACTGGATATTCATACTGGTGGCATAGATCTTGCTTTCCCACATCATGAAAATGAAATTGCACAGTGTGAGGTTTATCATCAGTGTGAACAGTGGGGGAATTATTTTCTACATTCTGGTAAGTAATAGTTTAAAATTAGTCTTTTGTATTTAGCTTTCTGTTTTCCATGGCATGCTTTTGTGCTTTGAAATATGGAGAAAACCTCTACATACAGATGCACTGCTACAATGACCGAGTTTCTGTTTTCTTTGAAATTGAAATTTACCTTAAATAATATGAAATTTACCTTAAATAATGCAAATTAACTCTTTTTTTAATAAGTTCAGAAATGTAGGAGTTTTAAACTGTAATTAGATTTTTGGAACTCTACACTGCATTGCCATGTGAATTCTCGCTCATCCTTCACCTGCTTTCCTTCAGATGTGTCACTTTTAATATTTATTTCTCCAGAAAAATAGAAAAGTTTGTTTGTTTAGGTGTATGTGTACATATATTAGTAAACATAGAAAAACACATCACCTTGAAATCAGAACTCCCAAAATGTGGAGGAACATGAGTAAAGTAGGTAGGTGAGTCGGAATTCTGTGAGATGACGTCCAATTATAATTTTCAGAAACAACCTGTGATGGATTACAAATCAATCTGAGTCCTTTATCTCTTGGCATCAGGTGCACTGGGAAGCGTTCAATAGAATACTGTAATCAGAATGGCAGTACAGTATTTATAAATATAGTTCCCTAAATCTACTAAATTATGCTTTTATCTACTAATAGCATTATTTCCGGTCATGAAAAAAGAAACAAGATTTTGTTTAACACAATCTATAATTGACTCCTGTCATGGAGTCCTTGGCATCCTGAAAAGAAATAACTTCAAACAAAGATTTCTCCCATCTGCTTCTTAGTTGTTTTTTCAGTCTTGTTTCTCCACAACTCACTATAGTTGTATTGCCCAGTTTATTTGGAACTTACTCACTGAATCCCTTATCTTTAAATTTCCCTCTAAAGCCATGAGAGCAATTCATTAGTTTGTCTAAATTGTCATAAACTCATCGAGTTCTTTCTAGCTTCCTATAACACTCTTTTATCAGTGTGAACTTCATTTAAATAGGGAAACCATTTTTCTCGCTCAGTGTTTCTCAACCAGTGGCATGAGTCTCCTTAGGGGTACTCGAGAGAAGTCTGGGGAATGGGGGGGGGGTATGTCAATACAACTGAAATTTGGAGAAAATTGAATTTTTGTTTTACAGCGCTTTATTATTTTTGTACTTTTTACAGCCAAAATTTAGTTGCCCACCCGACTACAATTAAGTTGTTTAAACAAATGTGTTGTAATGGTAGAAAAAATGTGCGTGTGTCTGAAAACTGTAGGTACTGGGGGTATTTACAATTTTTTTAAAGGATACTTTATAAAAAAAAAAGTTGAGAAACACTGTTCTAGTCTATAGCATCTTAACTGATTGTAATCACAATATGGCACTGTCAGCACTAGCCAGAGGGAGAAGAGAAATAATTCAAGGACAAAGTTAGCAAAATGTACTTCTGCATGCTCCCTCCTTTCCACAAACTCCCTTCCAGACCCCACATCCAGACCCTCCTGCACCCCAAACCCTACCCCGAGCTCCTTTCTGCACCCAGCCTCTGTCCCAGACCCTGCACCCTCTCCAAAGAAAAGTGTGTTCCTTTACCACTTACCAAAATCTTAGAGTGCGTTGCCCATCAAAAATTATTGCTCAGCCCTGGCTTAAACAATAGATTTAAGATGATGGAGATTTGCAAAGTAATCTGAATGAGACAAAAGCACAGTAGAACTGAAATTCTCATGGTTGTTCTGCTTGGAGGAAACTTTTGTTGCATTTAGGAATATCTATAATATTGGAGCTACAATTGATCAATTTTCCAAATGCCACTGTTGGTTAAACCCAGTCGGTTTGAGTTTGAGTTTGAGTTTAACTATTTGAGATTACAGATATACCGGTAATCAGTACTCATGACTGGATTCTTACAGCTGCAGCTCTAATGCTAAGCTGTGCGTCATTTAAAATAATTCCTAACTTGTGACTGCAAAGTATTAGTTTCCAAGTCAATATAAAAATGTCCATTTTTGTTTTGCCTGTTAATAGGCAAATATGCACTTAATGGAACCAACTGAAATTTTAAAACTTACTAGAAAGCTCTTTGGGGGAGGGACTCTTTGGCTGTATCTACACTGGTGCGATCTTGCGCAAAAGTGGACACTCTTGCGCAAAAACTTGCTGCCTGTCTACACTGGCCACGTGTTCTTGCGCAAGTAAACTGACATTCTAATGTATGAAATCAGGGCTTCTTGTGCAAGAACTCTGACACTCCCGCTCAGGAAGAAGCCCTTTTGCGCAAGAGCTCTTCCAGAAGAGGCCGGTGTAGACAGGCAACATGAATTTCTTGCCCAAGAAAGCCCTATGGTTAAAATGGCCATCAGAGCTTTCTTGCGCAAGAGAGCGTCTACACTGGCATGGATGCTCTTGAGCAAAAGCACATGGCAGTGTAGACACTCTCTTCTGGAAGAGTTTTTACAGAAGAACTCTTCCACAAAAGAGCTTTTTGCGTGAGAATGCGCCAGTGTAGACGTAGCCTTCAGGTTTGTATAGTGTCTAGCATCAGAGGGTCACTATGACAATATAAATTATAATTATCGTTATTTTGGCTCATACTTTTTCATATATTAGCATATGCATTGGTTAAACTGAATGATGGTTTTACTTCCCCATGCGGAGTATGTTGTATATCCACAAATGGAGATTGTCTTGTAGCAGTCCATTATCCACAAGAGGTGAGCTTTGCTCTCTAAATCCAAGCAAGTTTAGTGGCTTCCCTGATGAAGGGTGTTCACTGCTTTGCAATGAAGGATTCTATTGGCTGTACCCTTTCATTTTTATTCTTAAATGTTGTAAATCAAAGTGTAGAAACATTCTTGTCTAGGAAAGAATTAAGGATTCTGAGTTCTCTAAGCAAAAAAGTTGGGTCCCAGTGAGACTTTAGATGATGATTCTCTAGAAGCCAATAAATTACATTCTCTCAGTTAAGAAGTGCTGCTGGAGGAGGAGGTGGTGAATTATTTAGGATAAATGATTCAGCTTCAAAAATAATTCTGCTAACGCTCTGGAATACTGGCAGGCTCAGAATCATAAAAGCAGTCCCCATTAAAAGAAAATCTCTGCAGTGAGGATAAATCTTCTTCTAAGGATTTTATTTTTACACTGCTCATCCTGTGGGAAGGACACCACTCCACTGTTGGGAAAATCCTGATATTTTAGATTCTTTAATGGAGTCATCCACTGCCAGTGAGATTTTTTTTTTTTTTTTTTTTTATAGCGGAGCCGGATCTGAAATAATTCAGATGTTGCCAGTGCCTTATTATGAAGCCATGTGATATAGATACTCTGGTCAAAAATTTAAAACCTTGCTTGCCTAAAAAGAAGCACTTAAATCCATAGATGGACACACACATGAAAATGGAGTTATTTTCCACAGTGCAAGGCAGGATGAGTTTCTGCTGAGGTCAGAGATGCAGGTGCTCAATCATTCTGACAGTCTGGCCCCTTTCATTTAGGCACCTAACTTGAATAGTGATATATTGATCCAGTACAGTGCTTTTCAGTGGCAGATCTTAAAGCACTTTTCAAAGAGCTCAGTATGATCAACTTTTTATAGATGGGGAAATCAAGGCACTGAGCAGGTGAGTGACTAGCTGCCCAGGTTTGAAAATGTTGGCCTTTTCACAATAGATCAGAATTTCTTCTTAACACATTTTCTAGTACTAAAGACAAATTCCTGCAATGAGAATCTTGTTTTGATGGCAGAGCCAGTCTCACACCTGTGTATCTCTGATTCCTCTCCTACCCTTAAAACTGTGCATTGAGCAAATTGTTTCCAGAGGAGGAGGAAGGGGTTGGATTCTTTCCTCCTGGAGACTATCATCACTGATCCTTAACCAGCCACAGGAGTTGCTACAAACTGCTACCATACCAGGCCTTTCTCTCAACATCCCGTACCCCCCAAGACTCAGCACACTGCCTCTGTAAACTGCCCTGCTTTTGTTTTGTGTACGTTCGTGTGTGCACGCGCACAGCCCTCTCCCCCGGCAACTCAGTATTATCTACTGAATAATGTAAAATTTGTCCAGTCAATTAAGCTATTTAATAGTACAAGTAGTGGAACCTCTATGGCTGTTTAGGAGAAACAAAACATTGTGTCACATACTATCCTTGAAGAGCATTCTCATTGCTGTGTAAGATGGGCACGGGAGAGTGATAATTTGAGTGAGGACTAGTAATAACTAGATGGAGTACAGAATTATTGTAATTTACTAACAAGGAAAGTTCTGTTGTTCCTATCCACAGCACAGTATATTTCTTTCAGCCGTGCTTTGTGCCAGATCCTGACTGGAACTGAATACCTACGAGTTGAATGGGAGGTGCAATTGCAGGATTAGTCCCTTAATGTGAACAGCTGGCTTAAGGCTTTTAATCACATTTTTTTTAAGTGGTGCTGAGTGCTTTGTTCTTGGCTACACTTATAGCTATGCTATGCTCAGTACCAACTTAGTTGCACAAATTCCTTATGCTCATTATCAGCAGTGCATGTTTTTGCTAATGTAAACAAGACCCAAGAGTATGAGTATATGTCTGAAAAGAGCTCTACCAAATGTGGATGACATTATATATGTTGAGCTGAGCTACATGCTCTCCCAGGTGCTATACATACTCCTGGGGGAATTCTGCGCCAAAAAAATAAAAGCTGTGGGCACCTTATTTTAAAATTCTACGTATTTCATTTGCTAACATAACAAAATAATCATGTCAGTTTCAATTATTGTGGCAATTTTATTTCAAAATACCTGCCAGCAACTATGTTTTGTAACAATACAGACAATAGAAACAGAACTAGGAAATGTTTTTTTGATAAATAGATTCCTTACTAGGCATGTTAATACAGAACTTGGATTGATTCATTTAAACTCAAAATATAAAAATATATTTCCCGTGTCCCTCAAAAACACTGCAAAGGCTCAGAGGAGTCAGGAGTAACAGAGGAGATTAGGGAAAGGGAAGTAACTTCTGGGAGCCTATGGGTGTGTCTAGACTACATGCCTCCTTCGACGGAGGCATGTAGATTAGCCAGATCGGAAAAGGGAAATGAAGCCGCGATTAAAATAATCGCGGCTTCATTTAAATTTAAATGGCTG